AAGAATTGTTTAAAATAGGTAATTAAATTAATTATTTAGGATATAAATTATATTGGGATGATGACAAATATGATGAGGCTATTAAAATAATTGATTAAGCATTGAATTTTAATCCATAGCATTAATTATCATTATTTATTAAAGGTATGATATAATTTGAATGTATTAGCTGAGAGTTTAAGGATGCTTAGTTAATGTAATGAAGCTATCATTTGGGCAGATAAAGCTTTGTAAGTAGATCCATAGCATTGTGATTCATTATATACTAAAGGTATGATTTAATTAGAATGTATTAGCTGAGAGTTTAAGTATGCTTGGTTAATATAATGAAGCTATCATTTGGGCAGATAAAACTTTGTAAATAGATCCATAGCATTGTGATTCATTATGTACTAAAGGTATGATTTAATTTGAATGTATTAGCTGAGAGTTTAAGGATGCTTGGTTAATATAATGAAGCTATCATTTGGGCAGATAAAGCTTTGTAAGTAAATCCATAGCATTGTTATTCATTATTTACTAAAGGTATGATTAACATCTTACTAAAAGGTAACTCTTTAAGATAATTGAAAAAGTTTAAGGAAGCTATGGAAGTGATTGAATAATCTCTAAAAATTAATCCAAATCATTTTGATTCATTAAGGATAAAAGGTTGATATTATGATATAATTAATAGGTGAATGCTTACATGATCAGAAATAATATTAATAGGCTTTAATATTTTATGATAAAGCTTTAGAAATTATTTCTAATCATTAATGGACTTAAACTAGAAAAAGTATTGAATTTCTAAAAAATTAGATGAATGTTTAAACGCCATACAATTCAAATGAGTAATATCATCAATAAAAATTAAATACATTATTATAATTCAATTTTATGGATTAATGTATATCTTTTCTCCTTGTTTAATTCATTTCTAAATAACATCTATGAAATATTTTATAAATCAGTAGATTATATCAGAATAAAACGATTATGTAGAAATTGAATAGTTTAGTTTGTCAATTACTACCATTAAGAAACAAAATTATAATATATAAATAGATCTTCGAAATAGTATTATAATAATAATGTTCATATTTCTACAAACTAGATACCTTCTTCAATTTTACCATAAAAAATATTAACAATATTATATTCGGTTGCTTCTTCGATTTATTTGTTTTCAATTATGCGAAATTTTTGATTATTAATATTACAAACTTCCTTTCATATATCTAAACAATATCAAATTTATTTATTAACTTCATATTTATCCAAAATATGCAGCACTTAATTCAAAATAAGATGTGTTATATACTTTTAATAAATTATATTTTTGTATCAATCAATTGATACGAAACTTATATAAAGAAAGCGTTTCAAATCCAAATTCAAGGAAATAGGAGTTAGAATATTTCAGCTTTTTGTACTCTACTCAAATTTAATAAATAACTTTAGGAGAATTATTGAACAAACGCTTTGATAAATTACCAGAGATCACTTTAGCTTAAGAGTGATTCTCAGTAAGATCACTCCTCTACACTTAGATAATCATAGTATCTATTATAAGGTCCTCTTGAAATGGTATAATAAATTTTTGACTTTTTAAATGTCTCACAATTTAAAAATACTCTTAAGTAAGTAATAAATATAATAGTTCTAATCATTTGTTGACCTTTCTCTCAATATATAAGTTCCCTAATTACTTTGTTCTAAAACTGATTGAGAAAATAAAACCTTCAATTTTTGAATTTTCTCTAGTAGTTTTTAGTTTTTAAAATCACTATTATTATTTTTATGTATTTCAATTCATTTTATGTCGGCTTCTGGATCAGGAATGATTCAATTCAGAAAGCACCTAGCCTTATCGATATAATATCTGAATTATGATTTTTAAACTATCATTATAAAATAAATTGAAAATTCTGATGCAATTTTTTATAATACACATTGTCTTCTTAATCCTCCATGATTGACATCAAGAAGCATAAGAGTGATATGTTCAGTTAACGAAAGATACTGGTGAATGAATTAATACTATATCAT